TCCAACCCATCTATGCAAACCCACTGTCCAAACCATCAGCCCTCTCCAACCCATCTATGCAAACCCACTGTCCAAACCATCAGCCCTCTCCAACCCATCTATGCAAACCCACTGTCCAAACCATCAGCCCTCTCCAACCCATCTATGCAAACCCACTGTCCAAACCATCAGCCCTCTCCAACCCATCTATGCAAACCCACTGTCCAAACCATCAGCCCTCTCCAACCCATCTATGCAAACCCACTGTCCAAACCATCAGCCCTCTCCAACCCATCTATGCAAACCCACTGTCCAAACCATCAGCCCTCTCCAACCCATCTATGCAAACCCACTGTGGAAACCATCAGCCCTGTCCAACCCATCTATGCAAACCCACTGTCCAAACCATCAGCCCTCTCCAACCCATCTATGCAAACCCACTGTCCAAACCATCAGCCCTCTCCAACCCATCTATGCAAACCCACTGTCCAAACCATCAGCCCTCTCCAACCCATCTATGCAAACCCACTGTCCAAACCATCAGCCCTCTCCAACCCATCTATGCAAACCCACTGTCCAAACCATCAGCCCTCTCCAACCCATCTATGCAAACCCACTGTCCAAACCATCAGCCCTCTCCAACCCATCTATGCAAACCCACTGTCCAAACCATCAGCCCTCTCCAACCCATCTATGCAAACCCACTGTGGAAACCATCAGCCCTGTCCAACCCATCTATGCAAACCCACTGTCCAAACCATCAGCCCTCTCCAACCCATCTATGCAAACCCACTGTCCAAACCATCAGCCCTCTCCAACCCATCTATGCAAACCCACTGTCCAAACCATCAGCCCTCTCCAACCCATCTATGCAAACCCACTGTCCAAACCATCAGCCCTCTCCAACCCATCTATGCAAACCCACTGTCCAAACCATCAGCCCTCTCCAACCCATCTATGCAAACCCACTGTCCAAACCATCAGCCCTCTCCAACCCATCTATGCAAACCCACTGTCCAAACCATCAGCCCTCTCCAACCCATCTATGCAAACCCACTGTGGAAACCATCAGCCCTGTCCAACCCATCTATGCAAACCCACTGTCCAAACCATCAGCCCTCTCCAACCCATCTATGCAAACCCACTGTCCAAACCATCAGCCCTCTCCAACCCATCTATGCAAACCCACTGTCCAAACCATCAGCCCTCTCCAACCCATCTATGCAAACCCACTGTCCAAACCATCAGCCCTCTCCAACCCATCTATGCAAACCCACTGTCCAAACCATCAGCCCTCTCCAACCCATCTATGCAAACCCACTGTCCAAACCATCAGCCCTCTCCAACCCATCTATGCAAACCCACTGTCCAAACCATCAGCCCTCTCCAACCCATCTATGCAAACCCACTGTGGAAACCATCAGCCCTCTCCAACCCATCTATGCAAACCCACTGTCGAACCTCTTAGCAAAACTCCAGTCAGCCCTAACACAACCACAAGACATAATGCCTCGACATCCCTGTGCCTGTGCAGTGCCCTTAGGTTTCTGCAATACCTCCCTTCCTAAAACCCCACCAGGAATGACCCTTTCAGGGTGGGCTTTATCCCCAGTTCATTTAAGAGAAAGACGGGGCAGCTGCCCACTGTCAAGAAGAAAAAGAGCAGAGCCGAGAAGCTCTGACCCCCCAGCCCCATCACACACCCTTGTAGGAAAAGAGCACTTGAAAAACCAATTGGTTCAAAGGACCAGACGACTGAGACCTATCTTGGAGACCCCGAGGCAGGTGTGGGGGAACATGGCTGGTAGGGGCTGCAGCGAAGAGAAGGGCTGGTTGCAACAGTGATGGACAAGGAAGGTAAGACCAAGAGACGGGGCACGGGGTGGGGTGGGAAGGCAGGACTCACGTGCAGAGAGCTGCGCTCGTCTCCCAGGTCCCCGGGGGGTTACGGAGAAGGTAGCAGGGAAATCTCAGCCCACAGCTGGATGACAATGACCTTGGCCAAAGGATGCGCTGTAGGGGCACTGGACTGGGATGGAGGGGATCTGCATACAATACTCCAAGCTCAGCTGCAGACTCGTTAAGACCTCCCATCTATTCCCCATCAGAAACCTTCCTTCCTTCCTTCCTGCCCTGAGCTCCTGAGAACAAGCAGTTTGGGGGCACATCTATGCCACATCAGAGCCTGCTAGGACGCCCCGCAGACCCTCCCTGTCCATGCACACCTCGTGCCCCACATCAGCAGGCTTCTTCGTCTCGGAGGGCGGTGCAGACATGCCCAGTGTGTGTGTGCACGGTGCCCAGCACAGCTGCCTGGGCTACGCAGGAAGTCAGGCGCCGGCAGACATTACACTTAAGGTGCAATTAAAGTTAATCACGTCTTACATAGTAACCCAGCCGCATGTTCAAGCAATGCATGGTGTGATAAAGCAGGAAGTAGGTCACCAAATTATTCCACCAAATAAATGGCTGGTTTCCATCGCACCTTAAATTGAAAGCGTGGAAGGGCCCTCGCCATTCAGCCTGATGCATGGCCAAGCTCTGGGACCAGCCCCGGTGCGGTCCCAGCAGCTGATTGTCGGTCCCGGTACTAGGACCACAATTTCATAGAAATCCCAGAGAAGTGGGGCTAGAAGGGACCTCCAGAGGTCACAGGCAGGATGAGCCCTATCCAAACCATCCTATGCAACTCATCATCTAAAGTGTTCATAAGACTACTGTCAACCGGGACACAACGCAACACCCGAACCTGCCACGGGTGAAGCAGGGGGACCACGGCAGCCAGCATCCTGCCTCTTTAAAAGGGGCACGGGGTGCTGCAGTTCCCCTGCTTTACCTGTGACAGGTTCGGGTGTTCGGTCCGTGTTGTATCAGGGTTGTGCAGAGTTGAGATTGTGGTTGTATGGGATGGTTTGGATAGGGATGATCCCCCCTCGGGCGGGGAGTCGGACTAGATGGGACCACTGGAGGTCCCTTCCAGCTCCGCTTCTCAGTGAACATGTGCCAGGGGCCTCAGATGGTGCAGTGAAGACGGTCCAAACCCTACCAGATCCCTCCCCGAGAGGGAAGAAGACACCAGTGCTTCGATCACATAACAGGGTTACAAGACAGCCCAATTCTGAGCAATGCTGAGCCCCGGCTACTCACAGGAGCACGCCAGGAGCTGCACCCCACTTCCAGAGGAACAGATGCAGGGTCTCAAACGATTTCAAAGCGCCTCTCCCATGCCCTCCCCTGCCAGGTTGTCAGTCCCAGCCCGCAGGCTTCTCCCCGTTTCTCCTGCTGCAGCTGATGACGCTGTTCACACCTAAAGCAGAGGAGCCGCTTTCCTTGCAGAGCTTGGAGGTGTCAGCGCCGCCCCCAGCTACCGACAGGGTGAAAATACAGGCGCTGGAGCCGCAGGTTGCTTAAATCACGTCAGCCCCTGCTCCCCCTTCAGCATGTTCTTATTGCGAACGCAGGCCGACACGTCAGCCCCGGCGATGATTTCCAGCTCGGCGTGCACGAGGCGGCCACCTGGTCCTCACGATCGTCAAGCAGAGGGATACCTTAGCCCCATTTCATAGGTGGGGAACCAAGGCAGCAACTGACCCAAGGAGCCCTGGACACTCCTATGCTTCCCATATTCACACAACCATGTATGTCCATGGGTGCACACACCTGGGCTCTTGTCCCCACCGAGCTGCCTGGGGATTGCAAAGTATTTTCCCACTAAAAACCTCCCTTTCTAGTGGACACTGCTCTGCTTCGTGTCCGAGCACCCCAAGAAGTGTTTTCTGGCTTCCTCGGGCCACAACAGGCTGCACTGCGAGTGCACTGGGCGTACTCGGTCCTCCGGTGCAGGCACACGACTAAGAAGCCTCCTGCTCTGTGCAGGGAGATCTGCTCCTCAACAGGCTTCTTGACCAGAGACCCCAACACGGGATGTAAAGCTGCTTCGAGATCTTATTAGTCGAGGATTTTCTGCAGGAAAGTGGGTCTCTCTGGCATGGACAGAGGGACTGGACCTGTCAGGGTTACACATATCGTCCCAGGGACCACCGTCACACCCAGGTTTCCCCTATTAAGGGCTAACGCCTTAGCAAGAGCAGAGAAGAACTGAGCTTTCCCTGGGCCACAATCCAGAGCAGATTCAAGGTGCATAGGAGGGGGTCTCATCCTGCTGCTGTCCTTTCCAGGTCCAGACTTCAGATAACACTTCAGATAATAATTCCCGGAGCCATACAGGAGCACCCAGCTAGGCTGGATCCGCTGCCAGCTCCTTCCTCGTCTCCGTGAACATTAAATGCACCCACCTTTTAGAAGAGTGTCACTTAAACTTTGTATTAAATATAATTTCCTCTCCCACCCCTTTTCATTAGCAATACGCAAGCTTTCATAGAATTATGCTGTTATTTCCCAGCAAAGTATTAGTCTTATTATGACGACCCGATACACTCCTGCTGCCTATTGTTATACGTGAGCAAAGTTTCACTGAAATCAATTAAGAGGCAAAGTGTCCCATTCAATTCAATGGGAGTTTTTCTTAAATAAAACTGGCACCCAAGGAAACTGATAAGTGCTCAGGGAACAATTCTCGCATTACTTAAGATGCACCGGCAAGCGCATTACCTGTTTCCTTCTGTGTAGTAGCTTTCCTCTTCATATTATACAATGCACCTACTTATTATTCTTATTATACAATTTTCCATTCAAAATCCACATTGCAAGGGCCCTGTTCAATGCAAAAGGACTCGGGGAAAGGATGAGAAAATGGCATTTAAGGAACGCAATCCATAGTAGCACATTACACCACTCGTATTTCTGGCACTCTGATACCACAGGCTGAACTACATTTTAACTCCAATGTGGCCATCTGCAAAATCTGCCTGGTTACTGCATTATTTTTTTGCTAGACCGAATCTGTATTGTACAGAACGGCACAGATTCCCACAGCCATTGCAAAAGCTTCTGAAGCTCACAGCATTGTAACTTTCTGCTCTTTCCCATGCAAAGTACCAAGGCCCAAATCTGTAATCTTTGCAAACCTTTGCGAGTGCCCGAGTCTCTAGAGAGGCGCCTGCATAAAAATCGTGCCGCGCCCTAGCTCGAGACAGCTCCTCTGTGCGTTCTCAGATCCAAAAACGCACCGGTTCAAGCTTATACATTTGGATTCAATGGGATTTAAACGTATGCTTAAGAGCTTTCCCAAAGCCGGGGTCCTGCTTTGGAGAGGTGCGAGATGCCTGCAACCCACGCTGGGGCTGCTCAGCCTGATAATCAAGCAGCTTTTATGGAGGGGACTAATTTGGGATCAAGGAGCCTTGCCCGAGGCCCTAAAAGCCTGCCTGAGGGTCGGGGGGGTGGAACGAATGAGCCGTCGCCCTTCGGTCCTGGAAATTGTGACGTGCTGGAATCTATGATCCACCCAGTGCAAGCCGAAAACCTGCCCAGGTCCCCGAAAACCTGCCCGGGTCCATCTCTACCTGCTGATAAGAGCAGCTGAGCATCACCATGCTCTGCCGAGGGCCAGGAAAGTCGCCGGCACGGAGCAGACTCGCAGGACCAGGGCTTTCATTCGTCCCCCGGCCTGAGCAGGATGGCTCTGGACAGGGGAGCTGGAAATGAATCCACCGTTCGCCCTGGGGGCTACTTCACAGCCGACCTCTCCCCACTTCACCGGCGTGACACCCGCTCCACAGCACCGGCTCCTGGCTGCTCCTTCCTTTCGGATATTGGGAGCGCTCTCTTTGCTGCTATTCAGCCAAGCCTGGTACAGCTCCCAACTCCGGCGGTCTTATGGCTTTGCTAATGCAGAGAAAGAAAAATGTACGTGAATGAGGGGCAAAACAGGGAGGGAAGCACTCGATTTGGCATTAAACTCCCCCAGAGAGAAAGGCACAGGCCACACGTAAGGCAATCGCAGAGCATGATAACAGCAAAGGCTTCCAAATTTTCCCAGTCCAGGGCTTTCCCTGGGCGCTGCGGCTGCTGCATTTGCAGGTGAGCACCGGCCTCGCCTCCCAGCCGGCTCGATGCTAGTGTAAGCCAGGCAAGGACTGACCTGACTGGCTTCCAAAGCAAGTCGCAGCAGATCTCGGGCTGGATCACAACCCTCCGGGTTCCCCCCGGGCTATTTACATGCATTGTTTTAAACCACCAGTTCCTCCCCCAACCCAGATGTCCCCGAGGCCTGCGATGGGACACATAGTGGACGTGCTGCTGCCCATGGGGTGGGTGAGGGCAAAGGACCCATCCACCCGCGAGCGAGCAAATCCAACGCCCCTCCAGGGACCAGGAGGCATGCATCTATGCCTGTTACAAATGCACCAAGACCCCACCCCCCCCCCAGTTTGCAAGGGAGAGAAAGGGGGAGAGTCCTGACCACTAGGCATGAAGTCCACCTAGCACAGAAAGAGCCTCCGAGGTCTCGTCTCTGTTTCACAGAAGAGCTGACTTAACTCTGCTGGGGCTCGAATCAGGCTACCAGGGAGCTCTGCTACCCCAATCCGGAGGCAAAGCCAACACACAGCACACACATGCACCCCCTGAGCCCCCTCCAGCT